GCGGGGACGTTCCAAGGTTCCTGGAGCATCTGTCCCTGTGGGTCTCTGAGCCGATCTCGCGGGCCTGCACGCTCTGACACCCTCGGGTCTGGCTCCACCCTCCCCTGGCCCTTGGCTCAGCCCAGCGCCGCTCCAGCTCGAGGATGCCCAGCTCCCGACTGTGACCCGCGTCCTTCGCCCGGCCACTCCTTTTCCCTGAGAGCAAGCGTCCTGGGGCGCTTGTCTCGTCGCGGTGGCCTCTGAACCACGGCATTCGTTAGAAGGAGCCGGGCGGGGACGCCTCTCGGGATCGTACCGCGGCTCTAGCGCACCCGGGTGGTGGCACTGCTCTCGCGGGGCAGCTGCGGGGACGCGCGGAGGGGACGCCGCAGAGGGGCGCCTGGAAGGGTAGCGGCGGCGAGGGGCGCGGCGTCGCCGGAAGCTGGGGTGGGGGCACCCAGGCGCGATGCAGTGAAGGGCGAGCGACGCGGCGGCGGCGATGAGTGCCTCTGCGGCCACCGGGGTGTTCGTGCTGTCCCTCTCGGCCATCCCGGTCACCTACATCTTCAATCACCTGGCTGCCCAGCACGAGTGAGTGAGCGCGCAAGGGGTCGGCAAGCGCCTGCAACTTTTCTGGGGTCGCGTCCAGGAACTCCACGCCCGCCGCACGAGGGAGACAGCCAGGTCACCCGGACCTAGGTCCTCCTTTGGGCTAGGGCAGTTCAAGGTCTGAGGGCTGGGCGCCTGCTCTTTGCTGGTGTTGAGTGGGTAGCTGGGATTACCCAGGTCAATACCGCAATGCTCCTGCCTCCGAGGCTCTCAGACACCAAAGGGTTCAGAGCAACACGGAAAGGCACGAGCCTGCCCTATTTGATAGGATTGTTTTCCATGTATGGACTTTCACATTCTTAATCATTTTTTTAATTTTAGAAATTGTTGTGAGAGACTAGCGGAAATAGCCCTGGTTCTCTGGACCTGGCTTAGCTACTAACGGGGTGACCTGGCTTTAGTATTCTAGTCTGTCAAATGGGTATTTGCACCCTAAGGTTCTTGTGAGAACTTTGTGGAGGGGCGCTGTGACTGGAATGCCGGCCCCAATAAAGGCACCGTAGTTCAGTGCTAAGGCTGGGTGGAGCCGAAGGAGTCTATACCAACTCTGGCTCCCAGTCTGGCCTCCAACTTCTCTTAAGGGATCACTGACTGACCAGCCCTCGGGTGATCACTGGAAAAGCGCCAGCTGTGGCCCTGCTGAAGCTGGTTGCTGCCTGCTGGAGGAGGAAGTAACCTGCTATGTTTTCCACAGCGGTTGCCGCTAAGGAAATTGCATCAGTCTATACTCTGTAACGCCCCCCGCCCCCCCAGTCCTCCAGACTGCTAGCAGGGTTTGCACACAGCCAGTGCACCGTCTGGCCCTGCTCTGGTCACCTCTTGCAGACAACCGGAGCCCCGAGAAGCTCTGTTAGCTTAGGCACAGGCTGCATCTGCCCTTGGACCGACCTCACCTTTGGAGCATCTCCTGAAGCAGAGGCTCTGGGCAGTCAGATGTTTTGTGCCTGTCGCTAGAGTGCACAGGGACCTTGGCTCCTAAAGTGAGAGCAGCTCAGCGGACATTTATTAAACACCTCTGTGCTCTGATCCCTCGCAGAAGTTGGGGACTAGCTGAGAACAGGCCAGGAATGACTGAGGAGACATGAGTCAAAATAGAGACCAATAGATACATATGCTACGAAGACAACAAAATGGGGTGACGCAGAGGGGGCTAGTGGTTTGGGAAGGTTCTTTGGAGATAGGGACGCTTCGGCTATGGCAAGATCTGGGGGCAGAACTTGGTGAGCATAGGGAGCGGGGTGAACACGGGAGGGGAAGGAAGTGGTTGTGATAGGCAGGTGTTTGCTGGACGAGCTGTCTAGGAAGGGCTGGACTGAGTTAGTTCCAGCCCTTCACCCTATCCTTCTATACATAGGATAAACCCGGCATTCCACGACAACTCCCTCATTGTTGTTCCCTAAATTCTTCCTCCTGCCCCCCTTCCTGGTAAGTCGCCTGGCTACTCGGGAGTCCGCGCCCTCCTCTGAGTTCTCTTTGGCACAGACAGTGGCAAAGGCCCCCTCCTGTCTGAGCCCCCTGCACATATCTGAGCCTCGACTCCCACCCCACCCCACCTCCATCCCCAGAGTGTCAACTCTCTTTGATTTTTTTCCCCTAAACACCTGGTCCACCTTCTTGTCTCTGTGGCTGTTCCTTCTTCCTTTCTCCCCACCACTGAAGACACACTTAACTTGACAACCCTGCGGAAATGAAACTGCCGCTTCTCCATTTGTGGGTCCTCCCCCCAAAGCAGGGATTGCTGCCTTGAATCCCCTCAGACTCCCGTCTCACTTTCCCCACAAAATTTCGTCCTGTGGGAGCCCACCTTGTTGGGCAGCAACTCCTCTGGCCGCTGCTCCGCCCAGCCCCATGTGCAGCGGGGTTTCAGTTACCCTTCCTTTCCTAACTGGAGCTTCTGCCTGCTCAGGTCTTTTATGAAACTCTGAGAAACAGGATGGTCAGAGAGGTCGAAGGGTCAGGAAAGGGTTGGGGGAGGGGAGCTCTTGCATGCGCCTGCATATGTTCAGTTATGGGAGCTCTGGGGACAGAACCTTGCAGGTGTTCTGGGGTATGTGTGAGCTAGGCAAGGCAGGGGGAGGGCTAGCCTGGTGTTTGTCGGGAGAGCAGCCTAGACAGGGCTGTATGGCAGCCCAGAGGATTCATCAAAGAGCACCAGGAACTTCTGACCAGTCCAGGCTGACAACCCCTGGCTTATTCAAATCGCCCTTTGCACGGTTAGACCTGTTTCTGCTCGCCTTGGGTGTGGGCTGTTTTCCCAGAGGGTCTCCAGGAGCAGAGCTGGGGGGCAGACGTGACCTACTGCCCCAGTTTCCCTTCACGTGTCCTCCTACCTCAGAGGTGGAGAACATGAGAGGGCGCCCTGAACTAATTCATGCTGCCTGTCGTACTCCGGCAGAGCCTAGCCCTTTGAGCGCACAGGCTGTGAACTCAGCCATTAGAGTCCAGGGATAGCGTTGTCTGCTGACTGGCACCGGCCTCTAGGTCCATTGTTTGCACCCTGCCATATGGCTCACCGACTTGTCTTTCTCCTCCCTGGGTATCTTAGATAGAGCAGCATCATACTTGTGAGCCATGGCAGCTCCCCCTTCCTCTGCTTTGGCCCTTTAGGAGGAGCCTGGAGAATCCCCAGGTATGAGGCTTCAGTAACCTCCTATAATTTCCCAGCACACAGAGCCGGTCTCCTCCTCATCATACGGTAGAATCCATCCATGCACATCTGGTCCTTCATCCACCGCCCCCCATCCATCATTCATCCCTTACCCAGTCACCGTTCATCTGTCCATCATCTGCTCTTCCATCCATTCACCCCCTTCCCTCTCCCCACCACTGTCTTCCTCTTTCCCCAGGGGTTTGTGGTGGAGATTATCTGAAGATCCCAGTTTTTAGGCCATGGTGTGGAGGTGTCCTAGCTGAGGATCGGTGCTTGTAACATCTCTGAGTGGTCGTGGGGAGCTGATTGTATAGAGCTGGCAAATACGGAGGTATTTGTCCAGAATAGGAAGTCCCAAGTGTGTTGGCCATCTGGGTATCTCTGTAGGGCTGGAGTGACCTTCCGGCCAGCAGAGCTCAGAACTCCTGGAGATGAGTATCTCCCTGTAGACAGAAGCTTCTCTAGGCCAGCAGCAGTGCCTACCACATGGGGAAGCACACTGCGAATTTCAAGTATCTCCCTGGAGGCCTGTCAATCCCAACGAAGCTCAGTCAGAGGGTTAATTGACTGGTCCAGGGGAAGTGGCAGACTTAGTGGTTAGGCCTGTTGGCTTCCAGGGTAAAGGGTTGGAGAAAAAAGAGGGCAGGAGCAACTGAGCTGCAGCCATATTAGGGACACAGGTGGGAAGGAGAAAGAAAGGGGGGACCTGGGTTTCTGGTCTGTGAGTGTTGTGGGGTGGTGACCCCAGCCAGCATGCTGGGGACAAAGGGCAGCAACTTTTCGGTGCCCCAGTTGAGGCTGGCTTCCAGGAGCCTTCTGCAGCACGGGTAGCCAGTGCCTTCAATAGCCAGGAAATTCCAGGCACTGTTGTGTTTATTGTGATTAGTGACCACCTCCCTGCTTTGCTCCTGACAGTTCCTGGACCATTGTTGGGGTTGCTGCCCTCATCCTGCTCCTGGTGGCCCTTTTGGCTCGGGTCCTCGTCAAAAGAAAACCACCGCGGGACCCTCTGTTCTATGGTAGGTGGGCTGGTAGGTAGATTCCTCAGAGGGAAAGGGCTTGTATCCACGCTGGCAGGGAGCCGGGCACTGGGGACACGTTCCTGCTGGACTGTGACTGCACTGAGCCCGTTGCTGACAGAAACTGGAACTGTAGGGCTGTCCAGGACAAGGCCCTTGCCTCTCGGTTCCCCTCAAGGCTGTGGTGTCCCCTTTCTAAATAGAGTTCTTCTAGAGAGTGACTGGCAGGGCCAGGCGGGCCTCCTCTAGGCACCCTGTTGAGCCCCTGGCATGCTCTTACCTCAGCTTCCAGGCTGGGCTTTCTGCCTTCAGCTGCTGCTGGTATGTGAGATTGAATGTGCTGCATCTACACCAGTGGTTCTCAACCCTCCTAATGCTGCAACCCTTTAGCGCAGTTCCTCCTACTGCGGTGACCCCCCCCACCATATAAAATCATTTTTGTTGCTACTTCATAACTGCAACTTTGTTACTTATGAATCATAATGTAGCTATCCGATATGCAATGGAGGCTGCGTATCAGGGGGTTGTGACCCGCAGGTTGAGGACGCTGGTCGACACATTTGTCTAAAGGGGAGGATAATACCATGGGGAGCTGGTCAGACATTAGTATATGCTAGGGACTTTGATCAGCACCTGACAAATAAATATGTCTATTAAATAAACAAACAAAAAAGTCATTGGCTGGGCACATCATGTGCCTGAGAAGGCTCCGAGCCCTTCAGAAGTATTGTTTTAATACTCATAACAAATATCCCTTCACTCAGCTAGCTGGAGATGCCAGAAATGCAGTCAGGATCATGGGGGACACCATCAGACTTCTTTTACATATATACTGCCTCAGGCAAAGCTGTGACTGGCCTCTCAGCACTTCCTGTGGCCAGGAATTCGGTTGGGTATTTCATTCATTATGTTTCTGCTGATGTCAAACACTCCTCATGTGCATCTCTAGCAACGGGCATTTATTTTTCTTGCTCACTGGCCTGTAGGTTGGCTGAGAAGCTCTGTGGTAGATTTAGGGCTATACTCTCGTCTCCTCTTAGTTCCCCAAAGCCTACAAGAGGGCTCAAGGAAAGAAAGGAATGTCCCCAGTGCCACAGTCACTTCCAGCTCCATCCTAAGGCCAGCAAACCACGTGCCCTCATCAAAGGCTTGGGAAGCAGTCCCTGCCCTCTGTGAGCCTTGGCAAAGGCGGAGAGGGAACTGTAAGTGACCAGTCTCCCTGCTGACACACGCCCAAAACTGGAGCTTGGAGAAGTCGTGAGGCTCTGTGTCTGGTTGGTCTCTCTGACTTCAGAGCTGATCTGGTCCCAGAGAGTCTCACACCGCTGTCTATCCTCCCACTTCCTCCCCACCTGGGGAGCCCACACTTAGCCTACTGCTGCATTTCCCCATCCTTGAGGCAAGGCAACCACTCTTGTATCCGTGGTTCTGATCCAGCTTTGAGGACCCTTCAGCCTTGTGGTCGAGCCCTAGGCCAGGTTCCTTACCTACCAGGAGGCAGAGACTATGTCTCTGTCCCCTCTAAGATAGCATCTATCACTTCCAAGGGTGTCACCCATGCTAGTGGATTACATTTTCCAGGAGCCATGATGGCTGCTTACCTGGGAGTCAAACTGGTCGCACCAGCAGGAAGCAGCCATGGGGCCTCAGTGGAGCCTGGTGATGCCCGCTCAGGGACCCCTCACTCCTACTGGCTTCCCCTAAGGCAGCTTCCGCTCTCTCTTTTTGCTTTCTTCATATCTTTTGTATTCACAAGCAGGGTTTTCTACCGCCCTTTCCCGTTCCACAGTCTCAGACACCCATTTATTATAACTTAAAAAAAAAATGCGGTTTTCTTGGTGGACTCCCAGGCCCCGAGTGGGATCTTCAGCTGTTATAAAGCTCTGGTCCTTCACTGTTGGCCACACGTAGTATTTGAAGCCCTGCTGGGGGTTTCAAACAACCAGCCAGATTCTGTAGATGCAGCAGCCTTCCTTCCTGCATCTTCAACTGTCCCATCTCATGTGCATTTTTAAAAATCACTGCCTTTTGCTGGACAGTGGTGGTGCACGCCTTTAATCCCAGTGCTTGGGAGGCAGAGGCAGGCGGATCTTCAAGTTCGAAGCCAGCCTGGTCTACAGAGCGAGTTTCAGGCCAGGTTTCAAAGCAGAACGTTTCTGCCTTTTCCCTCAAAGCTATTGATTGTCAGTTGCACATCAGCCACCTGCCTACCCTCAGGACCTCCAGAGAGGACGAGGCTAGCATGCTGGGCACATGGACTCTTAGTTGGCTTGCATGCCACACTAAGAGGACTCACCATTTCTAGACGGCCATTTGGTTACACTGGTGTAGCTCCTGATGCTCAGGGGGGGTGGGAGTTTCACTTGAAGGGAGTGAGGATGGTGGAGGTGGCCTGGAAGAATCTTCTGGCACACTGTGATTCTCTGATTCTGTGACATGAGTTCCCCAAGTGAGAGCCGTGGTCCAGGAAGACCAGCCGGGTGTGCGGTAGATGCAGCCTGCTTGTCTGTGTGGATAACGCCCGCAGCATTTCCTGGAAGAACATGGGCAACACTCCTCGAAAACTGGTGGATGCCCCATCCTTGCTGTCTCCCATGGCATGCGTTTTCAGCTGCGTCTCCTCTGTTCCAGTGTACGCGGTGTTCGGATTTACCAGCGTGGTGAACCTCATCATAGGCTTGGAGCAAGATGGCATCATTGATGGGTTTATGACTCACTACCTGAGAGAGGTACGGGGCTGCTCGAGGGTTGTGCTGTGACCGGGTGGCTCACATGCAGGCTGCTGGTGGAGCACTGTCCCAGCCTGACCAGGCACATGACAGGCCAGCGACGGAACACAGAAGGCCGGGAGACCTTCTTCTCCACGCCTCCTTCAAGGCTCCAGAACTGTTTTCCCTGCGAGTGAAGAACTTCCAATGACTTTAGTATTTGGGTTTCTGTTAGTGGATTATCATCTCAGAGATCCCAAACCCATCTTAAGCATCTCTGGTGCCAAAGTTTAGTATACCTGCAATTTTACTCAGTATAGTTGAAAGGCTAAGGCAGAAGACCTGCTGAAAGTTTGAAGGCAGTTTGACAATATGGTGAGTTCCAGGCTAGCCTGGGCTGCAGTATGGGACCCTGTTTATGCATGTGTGTGTGTG